CGGGCCCCTTCGGGCCGGCCTCTGCGGGAAGGCCGGCCGGCGGCGGGCCAGCCTGGTTTACCGGTTGCATCCAACGGCCCAATTAGAGGCACTCCCCAAATAGGTTTCCGCCACTGGCAGCACGTTGCCTCTGGATACGGTTTCTTTAGGGCAGCGCTTCTCAACCTTGGCAACGTCAAGAGGTGTGGCCTTCAACTCCCAGAATCCCCCAGACAGCTGTGTGGGGTATTCTGGGAGCTGAAGGCCACAGAGCTTAAAAGTTGCCGAGGTTGAGAATGTCCTAACTGGATCTGTTAACAGTTGTGAGAATTTCACCCGCCTGTGGGCCGTTTGCAGAAAGCAGATCTTGTTAAGTTAAAATATGCCGTATTAAGACAGTGAGAAAAGTATTTTTTAAACCATTAACCCTGTTTTTTGTACTTGTAAGAACAAATCTAATAATAAAGAGGCAAGAATACAACCGCCAGCCTTGCGAAGGATTCTTTGTCATGGTTCCACGGTTTTAAGTTAGGTGCCAGCTGTAGAGGAGTTTCAAGCCGAGACCTTCATTTTCCCATTCAAAAAATAAAAACACAGGTTCATTTAAGTGACAATATAATTTTGTTTTATTTAATTTTTTTAACACACTGCTGGTTAAAACTGCCAGGCAGTAGATTTCAGAATATTTCCCTCAACCAGACATCCTGGGAGAAAACAAAAATAGAAACCAACAAAATGTATAAAACAAACAGCTAAATGTACCAAAAAATGGGGTGGAGGGAAGAATTAATGCAGAACTCACCCACACCTATTTCACTTCCCCAGGAAAAGAAATCTTTTGCAAAGCCGATGTAGTCAGACAAGTCATATGTGCTTTTTACCCCTCGCCCAAGCTCAATACTAAATGCACGCCTACACACGTCCCAGTAACAAGAAGCAGCACTGCCAAGTATTAAAGACGCAAAGTAGAGGACAGCTGCACGCACCGCCCTGCTTTGGAATCGTGGACCGAGTTCGAAGTTACGAAGGACGAACCAGCGGCAAGGCCAGATTCCACCCAATTTAGGTTTGTAACCTGGAAGCAAAGATCTAGGCGGTCCTAAGAGGCCACATCAATGCCTTCTCAGCAAGCAGGGCCACGAACAGAAAGAAGGAAAGCATCCACAGTGGTACAATAAAGGGTGGGGGCCTCAATCATCTGACAGCTGAGACAGCAGCTCTCAGAACCTGCATCTGCCTCGTTACTCCACTGATAACAAGGGTTATCTCCACACAAACTCTGATCGCGATAAGGTGACCTGACTCCTATTTGCTTCGGAAGTGAAGTTCAAAAAAAAAAAAAAAGTCAGGCCCTTTCCCTGGGGGAACTAAAAAATCTCACAAGGCACTCCCCAAAGGCACCCCAATAACTTCCCACACCTTTAACCAGGGAGTTAACTCATGGTTCAAAAAACCAACCGAAGGGCACCCACAGCCCTGGCCAAAGAATGATTTGGAAGCTAAGCACCACTCTTGGATCCCCACACAAGCACGGCTTGAGAATTTGGAGCCTCCGGGCAGCCCAAAGGCATCGGAAGGAGGTTGGCTGCCAACGCTCCCTTTATCACCACCTTCCTCAGCTGTTCTGCTTCCTAGGAAGCAACATTAAGGTGCTAGCAGGCATCGTGTGCCAACAGGGATCATTCCACGCCTCAAGCTCCTGAAGGAAGACTGGCATTCAAAGCCCACACAAAATTCTCAAGCAGACATTTCTACGGCCTTGCTGTCTTGGGGCTTTTCAAAAGCAAGCTACAGGTTCTGGTGACCTGTAGATCTTTAGGACACAGTTTCGCACAGCAACAACCCCCAACTCTACTTTTTGCTTTGGGACCAGGGAGGCCCAACAGTTTACTTAGACTTTCTTTTTTGCAAGTTGCAGCACCTGATCTTTCCAACTTATATTGAACGCATTTTTAGCAAGTCTCGGTCTACATCCAATACAATACTTGTTAAGTCCAAGCACAGCTTTACCTTTGGGATTCACTGCTGATGATGCAGACCTTTCCCAAGGCTCCTCAAATGGCCCCTTTTCTCTCTTAAAAAATGTAAACTATGATGCCTGATCCACAGGCTTCCTCTTCTGTGTTCTGGATGTTCTGGATGGAGTTGCTGCATTAAAACAGGAACTTCTTTCAACAGTATTTTTCTGATGGGATCTCAGGGACTATAAAGCAACCATTTACTCTCCCTACTGGCTGGGGGAGAGGGATTTCTATTTGTGCAAGTAAAATGTAGATGTAGGTCAAAAAATAAAACCATTCCAGAAAAGGGCAGCCTGATACCATCGTGCCCCAATAATGCTACTGCATCAGCATAAATGAACCCAGAACACTGTCCCTTCTCACAGCAGGCAACAGTCAAAACCTTTAGCACTTTTTGGCATCTGGCAGGCAAAGAATCGCTCTCATCTATTCATGTTGCCATTTGCTCAAACCCTACACTGCAAACACAAGATTTCCAGCTTAGGTGGAAGAGCCCAAAGGACCACAGCCCCTAAATCAAGATGCCAAGGCAACATAAGCCATTTGACCACCGACCCTCTGAACCAACACTGTTTGTGTGCAGATCACAGCAGTCTTAACACTTCTATAGATCCCAAAAGGGTCTATGTCCCTCACACCCAACCAGAGAGTCGTAATGGCAAGATCCCTGGAGCGGGAGGAAAACAGCTTCTGTTCTATGGCTGATGTTTCAATGTGCTTTGTGGAGGGCCACTCTGCAAGGCTCTTGACAGATTACCCGGTTTTTGATTTTCAGACTATAAAAGAATGAAAGACCAAGCCCTCACACGTGCCCACACTGTTAGTGACATCTCAGAGCAGGAAGTAAAATGTAAAGGTTGACCTTCTCCACGTTCTGCAAGTGTGAAGACTGTGGGGCTCCAAGGGCCCTTTCTCACCCAAAATATTTAGAAAACACAAGTTCCTTAAAAAGAGACTTCTTGACATGCAAAGCCTGCCAGCTCACAGGGTTAGGGTGAGTTTAAACTGGAAAAGTTTAAAAGGCAGAAGCAACACAAATACAGATTCAAATTTTTACATTCCTGCAATTTCCTCTAAGAAAGAAACTACTGGGATGCCTTGTCACAATCAAAGCAACCAAATTCCAAGGGGAAATTAGGGCCATGTTCTCTCCATATATAAAAATAGGGATAAAGCTACTCTTACTAGCATGTGATTCGAGTCAAATGTTCTTATGAGGATAAAGAGTTGTCATTTTTTACACCCCAAGACTCAGAAATGCAGAATTTCAGTTGTGTAAAAGACTTTGGTGGGGATAGAGCTTCCAGTCTAGAAACAAGCCCTCTCTTTTCCTGGAGGGATTTAGAGCTCTCTAAAATGGAGAAGATAGGAAGTACAATTGTTTCGGAAGATAATCAGTAACCGTTTGCCTCCTCTACCCCTGGAGAGCAAAGGGAATGGAAATGAGCCCTCACAATAGCCCACTTGGTCATCCTCTATGTTCCATTTGCTTCAGTTTGTGGAGGAAACGTGCATTCTTACAAATCAAGTGGGACAAATTAGGGTATGAGCGAGGCAAGGCAACCTATCTGTTCTGTTTACTTGCAAAATATAAACCAGCCCCTAAATAAACAGCCACAAGGGCTTTTGTTTAAAGATTAAGGACTCAAAAATGTATCAGTATCAAGATAAAAGCAGCCCTTGTCCTCATGGCTAGGTACCTGAGCTCACATAACATCCACTTCCTTTGAAGAACAGAGTAATCTGTCTGGACCTGCAACATCTAAACAGCTTCCGAATCAAATTCTTCCGAGTTGAGATTAAAAGAATATGGGACTTGGTGAAATTACTTCTGGGTAACCTGTGTGAGACAGTGAAGGTGTGCCGTTTCCCTAGCTGTATCTGTTGCCATATTTTGCTAGCACGTATCAACCATCTCACGTAGCGTAACCCAGAAGTCACTTCACCAATAGCAGCTATGAAATTTATATCTATCAAATGTGGACCTCCGTCAAAGAAAGTTTACAGCCATGAGGAGAAAGAGCAAATGGAAGCTTTCAAGCTGAGGACTGTTGCAAATCCCTGGCAGCATTTTCAGCCAAATGGATTTTATTCCTGAAGAAATGAATGTTAAATGCATGGGGGCATAACACTACCCTCTAATAGAAATATATATAAATAAATAAAATGAAGAAAAGAAGAATTTACTTTGGGGCCAAATGTCCAAAAGGAGGCCAAGTCCAGAGAGGAAGACGATTTTCTGGGCCATGTGGAGAAAGAGATTAGCTGTCTGAGTTTAATATGTTTACTAACAGTATGAAAAGAAAATGGCTGTGTAAAGCAGTCATTTCCTTGTTGAGATTGTACCTAGAAAGAAACCAGGCAAGTGCCTTAAAATTAAGCACGCTGAAACTGGAAAAACAGGACAGGTTGTAGGAACAAACATTAAACATTTCAATCTTCTGAGAAGAAAGGTGAAATTTGCTGGTGAAGACTGACATCTTCAATCTGGACCACTCTTGCAACTGGCAGCAGGATCACCAAAGTAAGAAAAAGTCATCCACGGTATGATTTGACATCATATGACACTTTTTAACTATGTGAGAACATGCAAGGGAATTACGGTGGGGGAGAAGACGAAGGCCCAAGAAAGGCCATAACCATCACACAGGACGGCATAGGCAAAATGACCAAAGGGAGTGGGTTAGGCATATGGAGGAAGAGCTATGGCAGAGCAGGGGTGCAGTGGGGCTGCAATCACCATGAGCTGAATATCAACTGGGACTGATGTACAAGCACAGCCATTCGGTAATGCTTGCTCTGTATGAAAAGGCCATTGAGGAAAATGACTTCTACTCTGCCTTGTTTCCCCCAGATTCCACTATATAACTATAGCAATGGAAAACCAGAAAGCCACATCGAGAGAGAGAGAAATACTCCTTAGATCCCTGTAAGTATTTAGAAAAGATAACAACAGTAGTCACAACAACCTAAGGAGGGAATCTTTCTCTAGGTTGTAGATAGTCAAGCAACCCTGTATTTGCTACCTTACAATCTGCATTCCATGGCATTGAGTACCTTTTAAGATCACTTCAGATTGCACCCACAGAAAGAACTGAGAAAGGAACAGTCAACAGGATCCCTTCGAGGGGCATGCATCTCTTTCAAAAGTTGCCTTGAAACTGAGCCTAAAAGAACTTAACCACTCAAGAAGCTCAAGGACATGACAGCTTTTGAGATTTCCTTGCCCTGGACTTCTTAAGCAGAAAAAAGAAGACATCCTCTTAGATTGTGGAAAGTCTCCAGGCACAAGAAAAACTGAAGGCCTTCAGGAAAACTTCCTACACCTCCTCTGGAAGGCCAGCTTCTACCTGTCAGGCTTTTGCCATGTAACATGGAATGGGGAGAGGAATAAGTCCTAGGAGTGAAAGCATGGCATGGGCTGGGGGTGGGGGAAGAAACCAGATTAAAGTTACACAAGGGAGTGAGAGGGAATTCTCCAAAGATAATCCAAGACTTCTGCCAGAATTGTCAGGACCAGGGAAACCACCTGCCTGAAAGTGTAATCTTCTCAGAATGCCTGGCAGAGCAGGTGACCTAGATAACCTGTTCAACCTGTTCCATAACCAATAGCATTTTACCAAAGATCAATCCATAAGGGTGAGTCTTCTTGTTCAGGAAAGAAAAGAAGTACCATGTGCTGAGTTACAAACACTCTAGCGGATGTCCACCCACCCCCGACTCCACACCTGTGAATCATTCCAGCAAGGGTGGTCAGTGGCCAAGTCTGCTTTTCTTTTCAGCCAACCTTTGGGTTCTGTGCCCTCCTGTTTCCTCCTCCCTCCCCTTTTGACTCCATCTTGCTCGTCACAGGATTCACTGCCCAAAATATCCAGGTTCTGCTTCAAGACTTTCTGGACAGGAAAGGTCCTGCTTGGGGCACACAGCTGGCCAAGACCCAAAGTTCTGCTGAGGGGGAGGCAAACTCTCCCTTTATTGTACCTGCTGCTCCTTAACAAGCCATTATTTTCCTTAAATTATGAGCAATATGGAGAAGCCAGGACAGACTCCGCATCCGGCCCAACTCCTCCTCCCTGGCTTGCAGACCACTGTGCTTGCTGTCTTTTTCACAACCTGCAAAGGCAGAATAGGGTTGGAATGAAGACGCCAAAGGCCACTAAGATCGGGAACATGAGGCTGCTGTTGTCCGAGGCATAGGGGTTTGGTGTGCGGGGGCCTGATTGGACCCGGTTCTTATTGGTCTGCTTTTTAGGGCTGGACCCTTCTTCGTACTCCTCTTCATCTTCCTCCTCCTCTTTTTTTTCCAGGCCTGGGTGAGGCTGAAGCTTTGGAACATCTGCAGAATGAAAGGAAAACAATGCCATAGTCTATACCATAGTATAAAACAGAGAAATTGTGGGGAGGCAGGAGGATGGGTTTAGCACTATGGAGACACAAGGCCACAATCACTCATTACAACTGAAACCTGTATTTTTGATGCTTAATGCACATATGAAACATCATCAAAGCCAGTGTGGAATCCCACTGAGGGTATATATGAACTTGCTTGCCTCTCCATAGAATGCAAAGGGTTAGTATTGCCAGCCCATTACAAGCTCCCTTTTTTTTCTGGAAAGAAAGGCTGGGGCGCCGGCCCTGGGCATTAGAGGAACCTAACCCCACGCACCCCATCCTGCCCTCCATTTCCTGTGGATGTTTCCAACGGCCTAGTGGGCTGACGCTGGTCAGAGCAGCCTGAGCACCTACACTCGGCCCCCTGCCCACATGAACTCCTCTGCTACCCAGAGGAGAGCAGCCAGTTGGAAGCGATCGCTCGCAGATGGCAGCACCCAACCTTCCCTGCCCCAGGAGTTCTCTGGCTTAGCAGGCTAAACAGCAAGTGGCGACACACTCAGCTCGACACATCCTTTGCTAAAGCCTGCCTACAGACTGTGTCTCCTGCAGCAGGACTGGCAGGCCACTGTAAAAACTTAGTAAAAGGAAAACTGCCGCAGGTAGGGTAGGAGGAGTTCCTTTCTGGTCAAATTTCTTTTGAGTCCTAGAAAAACTGAAGGATTGCCGTGCAAACTAGCACATGCTGAACGGCATTACGTAGGAGATGAGACAAACAGCTCTTGGCAGCAAGAGAACAGCCTGTATTTGGGGAAGTGGGATGGGGCATCCCAGGGTTTTTTACTGATCAATTATACCTGAACCCCCTCAGCTGGACTCACCAAAGAGTACCTTTCTAATTACTAAAAGATGGACCCAAGAGTAAAGGGTTAACTCCACCTCTTCGGCCAGAAGGCAGAGCTTAAGACATTTTCCTGTCTCCTGTGGGAAAACCCTTCCTTAGGTGACATGCATTGACTTCAGCTGAATCTAGTTCAACAAGTTTACTGAATAATGTACTCTAACAATAGAAAACCTTTCCACTGGCATGGGGAAAAGGAAGAACAACACGTAGCAGTTAGCAAAGAAAAAGTTAAACCTGTAAGAGCTAGAACTATCTCTGTGTTCCACTAGCAGTGTGGGACTAATTCCTACCTTTTGGTGACCAGGAAAGTATTAGAAGGTAAATCCAGCTACCGTTATCAAAATTATATTGTCACTCAACCTTGGCTTGTGCCAGGTTTGCTCCCTAGGGTGGGAAGGGTCTGGACAGAATTTGCAGCATGCAATCTCTTGTGCTCAGTGGAATTTCGAATCAGCCTTGGGCATTCAGTCTTAGTACTATGCAGTCTTCATCGAGAAGACAAGATCCCCTCCCCTAGAGAAAACTCCTAGTTTTCCAACCCACTAGCCATGGTGAGGTGACCCAAAAGGCTGTCTGAGGATGTTAAGGGTATCTGTCAGATGGGCTGGCAGGGAACAACGGTTGGAGCCCTAAGAACCAAAGACAGGCCTCATAAGAGGAAACGGTGAATACACAATGACAGGGGGCTCGCACAGCTAAGGAAGTGGCACACGAGGATGGCCAGAGAGAGATGTCCTTAGTTATCAAGATGACGGAGCCCAAGGTGGCTGCCTCAGTATGGTGTAACAGTTACTCGACACCTCCCCGGTCCTGCCTTCAAGGACCCAGTAGTTCTGTTATCTCTGCTGCTGGAGCCATACATCTTTGTGCCACTGTTTAAAAGCATACAAGTCAGATTACAGATTTTTGGGGTGGTTCAGTATCTTGAAGCCAAGATGGCTTCTACTGGAGAGCTGGAACTCGGATGTTTCCATTTGATTACCAGCACATAAACACAGCCAATCTGATACTGGCTTTGAGGCAAGAGGTCCAGGCGTTTTGGACTCCTCACTCACCTCCACTACAGTGGAAAGTCACAGTCTCCTAGGCCAGAATGGCACGATTAGAATTACCCGTGCCTTGAGTGTTTGCACCTTAGACACCACTTTGGAGAGCGCTAGTATCAATGGGAATGGACAGAGTGGTCCTTCTGGCCATGGTGCCACCAGGGTTTTGAATCCCCTTGAAACTAGAGAAAAAGCGCTTGGCTTGTCTATTGCCCACTATCACAAACAAGCCAATGTGGAGGGATCCCATCTTGCTGAGATGTTGTGAAAAATCTCCAGGTCCAGACCCCTCCTTCCGGCAACAACAGCTGACAACTCAGCCAGCTGGCAGTGGTGTTCAAGGATACTCTTAGGTATTCAGCTGATACAGAGAGATGTCCATGTGGTTAGCCTTGTGGCTTCCTTCACAAGGCTCCCTGATTTGGACCCACCATAATTGTTTGCCCAGGCTTTCATAATAGATTCCATCTGCTCCAGTTGGTGCTGCCCGCTGCCCTGGTTTGGTCATGCTTTCAGAGCCAGCTATATAGCCCTCAGTCCCCAGTTGATAAGCAGTGCCCCTCATGATAGGTCCATGATTCCAGCACTGCTCCTCCCTCCATTAGACATCCATTTCCTGTGGCAAGTTGGAAGGGAATAGCAAGTGCCTTGCTTGGCACCATTCTAGATAGAGGAATCGGAGGGCAATCTGGTCTTGGAACAAAATCGGGCCCATGATACTGAGTCCAGAGCTGTGGCTGTCACACTTTGCGATCTTGAGGGCAAGGCTCTTGGACCTTAAAGTCACCCTCACAGTCCTTTGAAACTTAAGGGCATGCTCCTGAGACTGGAATAGTTTTATTTCCTCTGTGTTGATGGTGATTCCCAGGTGCAGGATTTGTTTGAGGGTGTTGGGGCTGCTCACTGCTTTCTCTGTTGAGGACAATCCAATAATCAAATCATCCAGATTATAAATGTGGACACTTTTTGGAACAGTGAATCCTGGGGTGTCCCACAAGGGCTACCATCATTTTGAATAATACTCTGGGTGCTGAGGCCAACAAATCTGAGGAACTTCCAGTAAGACGGTCTGATCAGGATGTGCAAACAAGCCTCTAAAAGGTTCACCGAGATTAGTAAAACTGATACAGTGGCTTTTCCTCTTAATTCTCCATCCTGAAGACTCAGTGCCTGATAAGAGTTAAGCACTTTTATTGACTTATCAAGTAACACCAGGAATAAATCAGTATTAAACAGTCTCTGATGGGAAAAAGAAGATTGTGTGAAGTCACCCATCATCTAAAAGTTGACCTTCCTCTTGATCCAAATTCTACAAGAAATGGGCTTTAGATAACTTAGTCATATAAGTTATCTAAACTTATCTCCTCTGTCTCCTTGTGGGTACAAGAATTCTTCCTTATCACTTCAGGCAGTGATAATTGAAAATACCAAGCTTGAGGGAACGCCTATCTCTGCCTCTGACACGGCTGAGATGGATACCCACCTCCCTTATGCATTTATTCTCTTTGCAACTGTTTGTGTGTTTCACTGTTCACTTCTCCCCTTCCTGTGTGAATATGAAAATTATGAGGAAGCAGGAAAATTTGCTTACAAGATTTGCTTGAGTGTTTCTGGAAGCAGTGGCAGCTCATTGTCCTCTCTTCCTGCTTGAGCTGGAGCAGCCTCTGTTCTAGAGTCACAGAGAACTCAGCCATGGAGACTGACTCATCTGAGGCTGCCTAGGGTTCCCATGTCCTCTCTGAGTAGACAGGGCTCAATGGAGGACCTGAGATGCCCTTTGGGGCCTAATAGGCTGGCCTGTGCCTTCTCTGCTAACCATAACAATTACTTTAGCTCCGCATTGCACTGCCTGCTGCCTTGTATACTGATCTGATCCTGACCTTCTGCAAGGTTAATTGCTATGCCAGATGCCTCCTCCACTTGCTCAGCTTCAGCTGATTTTGGATTTATTCTTCCCTGCTCCAGTCTTCTAGGTAACTACTACCATATAGACTCTTCACTGTGGCCTCTGATCAGCATACAGTTTGGCTTGTGTAGTATTATGCCTTGCGTCCAACCACACACTATTCTGCTTTCTTCCCCTCTTTCTTGGCCCTAAAAACAGAGCTAGGGGGAAGTTCCTACTTCCTCCTCAAAGGGAGAGCTAAAGATTCCTCCACAAGACAGGAAGACATTTTAAGCCCTGCCTTCTAGCAAGAAGAGTTGGAGTGAACCCTCTTCTCCATCATTGGTGAACAAGGCTAGTTGAGCCAACCAATTTTTAAAAAAATTTAATAGTGAAATACAAAAAATACAGCACCAACAGGGAAAAAAAGATAAACAGTAGTTAAACAGTGAAGATAAAACCCTAGCTAGATTAAAATAAATTACATGAGACAAAGAGAAAACTAATTAACAGAGAGAGAGAGAGAAAATCTGTATAGTAACTATTGGTAGCAATATAAAATTAATTCAGTGCTTAAGTTTATCATTAATAATAGACCATATCAAAACATGACTTCATCTTTTCCTTTTTAGAACGGAGACTTCAAAAATAAATAACAGACTCATACACTGAATCCATTTCTTAACATCAGGAATTGTTTTCCATCTACACAACATTATTTTCTCTGCTGTGCTCCAAGTTATATTTCTTCCCAAAATTGTACTTATATAACTAATGATTTGAAACCAAAATGAGAGTACAGTTGGACAAGACCACATCATGAACTGAAGAACCCTCAAATTTCTTCCAATGCCAAGTTCACAAAATTAAGATCCATCCCTTTTCAAACATTATTTGATGGATCCTATAAACACAAAGCAATGTTTTCTGATGAATTAAGTTTCCTTTTTAAACGTATTTCTTATATTTTACTTTTCATAACATCTGGACCCACTGATTCCCCAAAATTGGATATTCCAGTTCTTCACTCAGCAATTAAAAAAACTTTCATCTTACTTCTTACTTCCTTATAAAATTTGGCCAACCCAGATTTGTGATCATTAGCAGCCCTGGAACGCAACAACCAGAGACAGAAGCTGTGTGACCTAGAGCTGTTCTTTGGCCTCTCATAAGACAGAGACAGGATCCCTTGTCATTTGGCTGGGCATTCAAAGAAGAAACATGAGGACGATGCTAACAAAGGAATTACTCACCATCCACTGTTCCCGCGAGGACATACAGTGCACAGATTTTTGGATTATCATAGTACCCCTATGGAAAGCAAAAGAGAGGTAACTTCTTTCTTTACCATTAGTTTCTTTGAAAGAGTCTACTTTTAGAAACTGTTTACATTTGGGGCTGCATGAGGGGGCCTTATGGCAGCTCTGTAGGGTAGTTCACAGATCAGGCCAGCCCACACTGTGGTCCAGAGGTATAAGACACCACTGGAAGAGAGGATGCTGTGCTGATGGACAGGACCTTATATCAGCCCTCCAGTTAATCCCCTGTGAATACTTGAAGCAGAGATGTGGCGGAGGCTAATTTGGATTCCCAGCCAAGTACCTCCTAGACTTTCCTAAGTACAGAACTTCAACTACTTCAACTGCCCTCCCTGCCCTCCCTCAGGCCAAGCCCAAAACTCCATTATAGGCAAACATTTCACACTCCACTGAGTGGGATTCAGACTGGGTGTACTTTAGATGTCCCATTAGTTCCAAAAAAATTCTATGCGTTCAAGCAAATCCCAAAGTTTTTTAAAAGAGCTGTATCCCGCTTTTCAACTGGATAATCATCAAGGAAGGTTACAATATATCATGACATACATGTGTACGTGGTCGTGCACATTTATGCACACAACCCAAGAGACCATAATCCCTTGGCCATCTGCAGGAACAAAGCTTGCTTTACTGCAGCTTTGCAAATCTCAGTAGAAGTAACAGAGGCAGATGTTCTTTTGGCCAACAGATGAAGACCAATGATAGACTTTGTATGGGACAGAGGGTACAACTTCTTGTCCTATGTCACTGGCCAAAACACACTGCCCTTGGCTCCTGCAGTCCCCAGGCAAGCCTTTGAATGTGTAAGGGTCTGAAGTAAGACCTTATTTTGGAAATGGAATGCTCAAAATGTTTTGGAAGCACAAGTGGTAGGTACCAAGTGCTTGATTTCCACAACATGCAAGTAAACATGCCTGGAGATGATCACATTAGGACCTCGTATCTTACATTATTTGATTGTCCACTCAGGAGAGGGAAGATGTTTCAAACTCTGAATATGAATCTGGAAGATTCACTGAACCACATTCAGTCTGCAAAATGAGTTTTGAATTATTTTTAAAACTGAGCATCACAGTTTTAAGTCACAGACCTGACAGAGCAGAGAAGCAAGATGATTAGTCAACAGTAAAACACGCATCATTAAGGCACCCGTGTCTTGAAAGGTGCCTGTTGATGCAGAGTCTCTGCAAGACTCTGGCGTGAAGGCAGCAGCACTGCAGGAGCAACCTTTTGCCCTTCCCTAAAATAAATGAACAGCAGCTCCTGGCTGAAGAAAAGTCTGTACGTCTTTCCTGCTCTAATGGCCCCTCACTCTTGGGATAAAACTTGCTCCTACATGAAATAGACATGGGTTTTTCAGGCTCCTCTGCCTGTGTAGGATAGTGACATGGCCTATCTTCTGAAGGGGAGAAGGGGCTTAGTAAATTTGCCTTATTGCTGCTCCCATACTTCTGCAATGGAGAGAGAGAGGGCACCCACGCAGGTTTTTTACCTTGACAAACTCAATGTTAAGCTTCCCTGTGAATGTAGAAACCTCTCCCTGGACACTCAGCTTCCCCTTCTTGATGCTGATGGGAATAATCTCATCATGGGCTGTGCTGTGTCCAACTCTGTCAAAGATGTCCAAGTCCTTCACCACCACATGGCCATTCAAACGCACATCAAAAACCTGTGAGATGAAAAGAAGACAGAACTGCTAACAGTGCATAGAAAAGTAGGCCCCGGCACAGTAGAGGCAAGTTTTCAAGCTACTTAAAATTCTCCTCACGAAGAATGGAACCGCCACCCTCCTATATTCCTTGAGATGACTGTGTGTTATTTTTTCAGTAAATGTTGAGCCAACAGAAATGCTACTTTATTCATGTTGTGCCTTATCTTGAAAGGGTGCCAATATCTGGAACTCTTATTTAGGCAGAATGGTACATCCAATCACGGGTAAAATAAGCAAGACAAGTGCCTTTATGTATAAGAAGAGTTAGAGCTAACATTTATGGTCAGTTTGTTCCCCCTCCACAGCCCAAAAGTGTACCTCCTCAAAGTTCAGGGGAAAATAAGCTGCATGCTGGAAACGGCAAGGAGAGTACCCCAACCCATACCTCTTGGAATGCACCCTCCAGCTCCACCAACCTTTATCTGATGCCTTTCAAAGGATGCTTTTGTTCATTCACAAAAAAGGCTAACTTGGATTGTCCTCCCAGGATGACATCACTTTTTTACCTTCTGCTGGGACTGTGCAAAATAGACTTCAGCGAACTTCAGTACAAGGACATAGTCGCCCTCTTCCTTGATAGGGACCTCGTATCCAAACGTTTCCTCATTGTAGCGTTCCGTTTGGTAGAGAATTTGATCCTCAGGGTTGGATCGCAAGATTGGCAATTTCATGCCATAGTCAGAAGCTGCATTCCAATACATAAATAAAATAGGAACATTCCCTAAGCATTTTGCAGCTTACCTTTGCTCATGTGAATGTAGCCCCAAAGTTCCTCCCCCACATTTAAGTGTTTAGCTTCCCCTTCCCTCCACTTCTCCTTCTCCCAGACTTTAAAGAAAGAACTCCCTGATCGAAGGGCACACGCAGAGATCACAAATACACATAGCTAACTTGAAACACATCAGCAGGCTCAAACCAAGTGGGTCACAAGGTAACTCAAGAGCTCTGCCAGTGACATTTGGCTCAGAATCTACTGGCCTATCTCCCAGTGATATGTGGCAGATCAGAAAGGACTTCCTGCTTTTAGTAGCTTAACAAAAACATAGGAGCATTTTCTTCCCTCCTAAACTAGGCTGCTAAATCAAGAACACTTTGCCAAAACCAGGAGGTGATTGGTAACGAGTGGGTGAGTGAGCTTCAGAGCACGGGAAGCAGTTGTCCCACTCCACTCCGACTTGCTCAGGCCCCACTTGGACTTCTGTGTCCAATTCTGGCCCCCCAGTCTAAACGGGACGTTGACAAACTGGAGTGTGTTCAGAGGACGGCTGTCAATGCGGTGAAGGCTCTGGAAACCAAATCTGGCAAAGGTGAAGGAATGAAGGAAGTGGGTAAGTTTAGCGTGCAGAAGAGAAGGCTGGGAGAGGCACGAGAGCCTCTTCAGAGATGTAAGACCAGAACCAAGCGGCTGGAACTACAGGCAAGCAGACTCAGGCTGGATATGATGGTAAAAGCCGTAACAGAGGAATGGGTTGCCTCATGAGGTGGCCTGTTCCCTTCCCTGAAAGGTGTTCAGATCTGTCTCCGATGCCGTAGCAGATCCTGCACCAAGCAGAGACTTAAACTAAGGACCCCTTTCTAGCTCTGGTGATACTATGATTCTAGGCAGGAAGTTAGAAAAGAAAGGATTCAGGAGGTAGATGCAAGGAATTAACATAGAAAATACACCCTTGTATTCAGAACTCTAGATAGTTTCATCCAGGAAAAAATAAATATGGGGAATATTCATGAACGCGAAGTACATATAATCATCAGGTGGTCAGGATACAACTCAGTAAAGCCCTTTCTTTCTCTCAGCTAGACAGTGCTCTGAACCAGTTTGAGAACACTGTTTTACTTTACAGTTTAAATACACTTTACTGTAAAATAATATAATATATAGGGGAAAGGGGGATTAAACCAACCCCCATCTCAGCACCACGTCTGAGTATTTTTTGGCTTTTAATTTTGAGTGCAATGCAAAATGCCCACAAGAAGTCCCTACGTGGAATATGTGCACAGCTCGAGCCTCAGGCTTGGGTCTTTGCCTGGGCTTCCTCTCCAGAAAAGCTCAGCAAAACAGCCTTGGCAAAGGATGGCAGTTAATACTGTCTCCAGCTCGGGAGTATCTGTGAGAGAAACGGAGCTGCAAAGTGTTGTTGACGGACCTGCATGGCCCCAAGGCCATCTCTTTCTTGGGACAAAGGGATGGCACTGCCCACCCGGCTGCATCTGAGGAAATGTGAGACTCTCTGGGCCCACCGCAAGCCTGAACGTGGCCCACTCCTCTGTCGCTCCTCCTTGGCAGCACATTTTCCATACACAACAGCACGGAGGAGTCGCCATTCTTTCCTGTTTCACTTTGTTTCTTTTACTGCTCCAAATTACAAACCAGGGGAAAGTAGCATATAAATTTGGGAAACAAAGCAACTGAAAATTCCCTTTACTCACAGCTAGTGTCCCAGAAAGCACACTGGACTTCCAAACATTCAGCACAGCTAAATGAGGCAGGGAGTGGGAAGCAGACTGGGGGAAAAGGCCATGTTCACCAGCTTCCGGGGAAGAGGCATTTGGGACATATCCTCCCACAGTATCCAGCCAGATCTTCTCCCACAGCCTCCTTTGCAAAAGCCAAACTCCTTGAGGGTTTGACTGAATACAACGACGAAACACAGACAGCATGCACACATAAATCCAACAGCCTGTAACCACAAGAGGACAGAATATTGCAGCCAGCTTGAACCTGAAATACTTTTTATAGATTTGTGGCAAAGTCCAGATTTTGCAAGCCAAGGTTTCCCAAACCGGCGACTTCCAAGTGTATTGACACCTTAAATTACAGCTAACATAGAGAATCTAAACACTTGCATGGGAATTGAACATCCAAAGAATCTTCGTTTTGACATCAGAGGACAATTTGAAAATGTGAAGGCAATACAGAAAATGCCTGAAGTGGAGGTTCAGTGTAATATATCTCACACATTGATTTTGAATGAGAAAACTGGATTTTGCTTAGTATAATTAAGTCTGATGATAATTCAGTTACATAGCCATACATTGAGTGAGATGTCAGAAATTTTAGCCCTGGGCCCTGTCGTTTTTAAAAACTACAGTTTATGAACTATTTGCATGGAGAAGACAATTCTTAACAGATTTGCAGTTGACAGAGAATTAAGTGGGATAGTTAATATCCTAAAATGCAA